AAATTTTGGATGTGCTATGTATATCGCGAGAAAACAAGCTCAACCAATCAGGCGTCAGTACCGTCAGTACCGTGACTTTAAGAGAAAAAAATTCGGCGACGGTACCGTTGCAGGAGACACAACCATATATTATACATATAGTATAATGCATATGATTGTAATGTATATGTAATATGTAATATGTAATATGTAATATGTATATATAATGTATATGATATGTAATGTATATGTATATGTATTATACATATATAGTATATTATGTTCTCAGGTCTTACCCATTGTGGTCTTAGGGTCTTACCTGCGTCATGGGTGTTGACATCTTCTTTTTGATTGCTGCGCCACCTAGTGCTTCATTTAATTTTTCTTATTCTTCTGCATACTATTTTGTCATTATTTCGAGACTTCTTCTAAGGAGTAGCGTAATCGTCCTTTTTTTTATCAAGTTACTGTTTTGATCGGTTTTCGTAAGCAACTAACTAGCATATTATTATTTCTATGGTATGACAGAGAACTAGTCTAACACCAGTCTTGCCTCGTGGATAAAATAAGGAAATGAAGAGACAGGGGACCCATCTACCGTTGCCTTATCGTAAGTATTTTGTGTGTTACAGTTGTGTGTTCAGTCAGTTCAGTGTTGTATAGAAAATGCACAGTTATTTTATCAATAGAGTGAATCTCTTTCTGTGATTTGTTTTACCTAGTTTAAATATAAAGGTGGGCCTAGTGTTATTGTTAACGATCCATATAATAGAGCCAGTTTTGACTCATTTGTATTCGATTATAACTGCGACAGTGCGACCGGACAGTGCGATCGTGCACGATGCATGATTGATCATGTCATGTCATGAGAATTTCACGAGTCTCAGTCGCACCCGTGTAGCGCGTAGGCGCGGCGAAATCTTCTGTGCCTGTGGGTCTCGTAGTTATGTTAGGAATAGTTAATTGATATGAATTAATCATATATTGTTCTGTTTAATACTGTAAAATCTTATTTTAGTACCCTACTTCACCCTTAGCTCACCCTTAGCTCACCCTTAGCTCACCCTGATACTGATACTGATAGTGATATAGTGACGATTGATCGTCACTATTTTTTATGGATAAATGCTAAAGGAAATGCAAAAGGAGAACTAAAAGTAAAGACGAAAGTCTAAACTAAAGAAACAAGTACCTGTTTCTTTAGTTTAGACTTTCGTCTTTACTTTTAGTTCTCCTTTTGCATTTCCTTTAGCATTTATCCATAAAAAATAGTGACGATTGATCGTCACTATATCACTATCACTATCAGTATCAGGGTGAGCTAAGGTAAACCTCATGTTTATTTTATTAGCATATATACCTGTGTTAATTGTCGGTAAGATATCCCAGTTGGCCTACTCCCATCCTACTTCCCATTTCGCCTACTTCAATTTCGTCTACTCTCAGTCTGGCCGTCTCGGTCAGAGTAGCGTTTACACCCCCATATCGTGAGTTTGGTTAATGGGGGGGGGGTACAGTCTTAAAAATTTACAGAGGTCTTCTTGAGGGTGTTGTCAACTAATTTCTAGCAAGAAAGGGGTCATTTGTTGTCGCAAAGGCGCGTCGTTTCACCCAGCAACCTCACCTTGTTTTGACGATTTCTCACGATCGCGTATTTCACGCGATTTCAGTTACCATTCATGTCCTGCGGCCGTCACATTTCTCCTCAACTTTGCCCGGGCCACTTACGTATAGTGATATAACTTTGTCTCCACTGTCAATAACCTTGGGCAGAAGTCATAAGTTGTGACTAATCCACAATGCTATGTATCAAAACTATCATATTTTACAAAGCATTAAATGCATTCAAAACGAAATATGCTCTTTCTTTCACAACAGAGCAAAGAGTCATTAATTAATTAGTGTAACGTTTGTTTGTTTCTTTGGAACAGATCTGTCTCATATGGGCCATTAGTTCCTGATAAAGTTCAAACAGCAAACAAAAATTTACACGTGGATGGGATGCCTGTGGTTGTGACACTCACTACACAGAATGATGAGAATATTCATGTACTTTCAGCCACCATATAAGATGCCGGCCTACATGGCCTTCCTGGCATTCCTTGCTTTGCTTCTGTACCTCTTGGTACGACTCCTCAACTGCCACAGCACACCCGACAAGCCAAGTCTATTCCATGGAGAGTCAACATTGGTTGCAAAAATTCTAGAACAGTGTCCTATATTGTACCAGTGGTAAGCATTGCCTGCGATGTATAACGTACACACAGACCTACCAAGTCTCACACATTTTGCAGGAGACTCACGCATCTGGACCCATTCCCCCGCACTCCCGCATGCTTAGGCATTCTCACGCATTCATGGAAAAGAAAAAAATCATCAACAGTTTTAAATTTAATTTTGTCTTCTTTTTCCTCGAATGCTAACAGAATACATGTACTGCAAATGCATATTTTAAAGCCAAATATTCAGAAACTGGTCGTGTTTGAAAATATTCTGAACCTCCAGCATTATATTCCCAAAATGACCCATTCTCCAGCAAAATCTCACTGAACCTCCAGCAAGCTGTTTGAACACCATTGGCAGGTCTGAATACACAACGTGTAGATTTCATTTGTTCTAAAATGCCAAGTTGCTTTCATGTGCAGTAGGGCCATAATAAAAATATTGTTTGTTTGCCCTCACCCGACCCACCAAAAAGGCTCAAAAAGACTATTTGATTTTTTTTTTTTTATTTAAAAATTATTGATATTTTTTTTTACAAATTGTGTCACTGTACATTATATGAATCTGTAGGCAATACATTATATGTACCAAGCAAAACAAACACTCAACATAAAAGGTATCTCAACACAAGCACACCCGAGCATGTAGACCATGCTGAATTTGTAAAAAGACCCCTTCCAAAAAAAGCCTACCTACCTACCCAAAGTTTTCAGCCTGGGCGGGTGAATGCAAACAAAGATTTGTTTAATTGTGGCCTAAGCTGTAAATATTTGCATAGTGTGCATTTCCACTCGCTGCTGAGTGTTTGAGGTTTGCAATGTTGTTGAGCTTTGGAACCAAAATACAGTTATTGTTGATTATTTTGTTAGCTACGATCCTCCGTCACTGTGGGGGCGGAGTGGCCACCTCCAAACTGCCATGTACAGTCTGCTAGGCCGTGTCAACTCTCCTTTTCCACGCGGGGAAAGGAGAAGCGTGCTCATGCACGATGGTGCGACACTCAGCTTCGATGTGTTTCAACCACTGGCCAGCCACAAGAACGAGGGTAGGTTAATTGTGTTGTGTTGTGGTGTGCTCATGGACGCTTAGACGTATTATTGACTTTTAGTCGACGACACTTTGTAGCTACGCATACGTGCACTCACGTGCGTATACATATATATCACGCATGCGCATACATGCACTTACAACTGTGTATGAGTATGCACACACAATTAATTTAGCATGTACACACAAACATGTATGTACCAGTATTTATATGCGCAAGTGAGCACCCACAAGCATATACAAAGGTGTACACGCAGGCACAAATGCATGAGCATGCACACACAAATATACCCAAGCATTTACACACGTACATGCATACATGCATTTAAGCATGCGCACATCAGCACGTACAAGCATGTACATATGGATACGCACAAGCATATGTATGCATGCATGCACATTTATCATTTCTTATGCCATTGCAGGAGATTACACTCTTATAGTTGTACCTGGGCTCGGTAATTCCAGCGAGAGCGTATACATCCGCACGCTGATAAACTACATGCAGAATCTTGGTTATCGTGTGGCTGTTCTCAACCATCAGGGAGCACTTAAGACAGAAAAAATCACTGCACCTAGACTCTTTACATATGGTAAGCCACCGAAAATGTGCGAGGATATTGAGTAAGAAACTGCATTGAATCTGTCAAGTAAAAACAAAGATGGATGGCTGAGGCTCTGTGGCATAGGCAGAAACGGGACAAAAGCGCAAGGATTTCCTGCACTGATTGCAATTTAAACATTTATTTTAATTATTTTCTTTGCACAAGTTATTCTCAATTTCCAAGCTACTGTCAAGATTGTATAAAGCTGGGTTTACACTGCCAACTTTGTGTTGGTGATTTGCCGAATTGTACCAACTTCGCAATTTTGCAACTGACAATCGGCAGTGTAAACGCAAAAGTTGCACGTCCAACCGATCAATAGCAGCTAGTTGGGAGATTAGAACATGCTCTAATTCTGCAATTCGGTAATTCGCCAACTCAAAGTTGGCAGTGTAAACCCAGCGTAACTCTGTGAGCTTCTCCAATTGCAGGAGGCACGGAAGACCTGGCTCTGATGGTGCAGACTGTGCTCACGCTGTTCCCCAGCACGACACTGATCGGTGTCGGGTTCAGTATGGGCGGAAACATTCTTTGCAAGTACCTGGGCGAAGACAGCAAGCACTGCCGGCGCTTTCTCTGCGCTGTCTCCGCATGCCAGGGTTACGACGCCGTCAGGTTTGAAAGTTTGCCGACCTCTCAGCTCACGTCAAGCCTAAATATATATATATATGGTTTACTACTGCTGCTGCTGCTGCTACTGTTGCTGCTGCTGCTGCTGCTGCTGCTGTTGCTGCTGCTGCTGCTGTTGCTGCTGCTGCTGCTGTTGTTGTTGCTGCTGCTGCTGCTGCTGCCATGATTACTACTATGACGACAACGACAGCGACTAATAATAATAATAATAATAATAATAATTCTAAGGCAACTCTAACCAATCACTGTTGCGATAGAGCATTCTTGAACTCGTCGCCGCCAGGTTGAGGACGTGGCGTGTTCGCGTGAAAAATGCGTACAAACCTGTCTAGCTTGGCCAACCTTGCAAGGATACCCGACGCGAGCGTGCTAATCTCGCACGGGCGGACAGGTCGGTCGCGACGCGTCCGTGATCATCGTCAATCCGAAAGCTTTGTGTGAAGCCCCCCTCTCGCCGTCTGCTTACAGGGCCCTCGGTCTGCTAATGCGCTGGGACAACTTTCGACGCGCCTACATCTGGCTAATGACAGAGAACATGAAGCGCATAGTCCGGCGCCATCAGGACGTGCTCTGCACCATCGACTGTAACCACGGCGACAAGCCGTCGTCGTCGCGCGTCGATCTTCAGCAGACGCTGGCTTCGACCTCCCTCATCGGCTTTGACGAATACTTCACCAGGTGAGTTGCATGTGATGGACCCTTCTAATAGCCGTGGTGCATGTCCGGCTATTCGTTGGTGTACTTGGAGACTATTAGCACAGAGTTAGGGACGGTCCGCCATATTTACCATCATTCAGACGTGCAGGTATTGTTTTGCCTCTCTCTTCCTATCTGTTTCTTCCTCTCTCCCTTCCTCCTTTCCCTCCCTCCCTCCCTCCTTCCTTCCCTCTCCCTATCTCTATCTTTATCTCTATCTCTTTCTACATTTTCATGTTCTCAGAATACCATACATAATACTCTCTAGATCGCCCCTATGTCACTTCTCGTTGTTTCACTATGTACTCATTTGCCTAATGGATCTTGATGGAACACGTTATTACAGGCATCACGGGCTAGCTAGTAGCCCGGTGTTACACTCATCAGCCTTTAAATTCCCTATTAAATCATGCCGAACGTACAGTGCCGAATCCACATGGGGGTTTGTTAATAATCAGAAGCAAGATATCACCAATCAGACACTATTACAGGGTTACAGAGTGAGTGAATTTTTATGGGGTAAAACATTTGTGTTTCGATCGGCTGAGCAAAGACTAGAGAAGGTGTCAGTTCCAACTCAGTTTGCTTCGGTGTGGTAGACCGCGGGTGTGGGACGAAGGTTTCACGATTGAGTACGTTGTGTTTTATAGGATTGTTTACATTTACTAGACCTATTTACCTTCACCCCTCCCCACCACACACATACACGCACCCCTTCACCCCACCACACACATACACGCACCCCCTCACCCCACCACACACAGGCTCACCCCACCACACACATACACGCACCCGCTCACCCCACCCCACAGCCCTGCATGCAGAAATATGCTGAGTGCACACGTCGATGTGGATCGACGCTTCACGTTTCTTTCTTGTTCGTTCTTACACTGGCAGCATTTTAGTAATTCTTTGTGCCGATTCAGCATTTGTTTCTTTGTTAGCTGCTTCCCATGCGATTTCTTTCCAAGGTTTAACCGGCTTCGGACTCATCCTGCTATTGATTCTCGAGTAAACTGCTGCCGGAATCACTACCGTGCACTTGGGAGCATTAGCATTTGCTCGAATTAATCAATGGGCTTGTTGTTACTAGGCGTGCGGCGGGTTATGACAGCCTAATAGACTACTACAGGGACCACAGCAGCGCAAGAGTCATCAATAATGTAAGTTCGCCCGTTAGCTGGGTAATTGGCGTAATAGCTGCGTGTAGCTTCTGTTAAGTGTTTACGTTGCTCAGCTCTGCGCTCGAAGTCTCTTCACGTGCTAGCAGATGGTTTACATCTGCGAGTATTATATATGTGTGTGCGTGTGTGTGTATATATATATTGTAGCTGGTGTCAGCCTCGTATAGCACAAAGCTTCTATTTGAGTGAGTCATTGGTATTCCGTTGTTTAAATGCAAACAAAACAAGCAAAATTGCAAAAATGTCTTCATTTTCCAACAATTCCTATCATTCAGGTGTAATGACAGTGTAACCGATGGATTGTTTCTATGGAATATTGTAAACTTGTGCAAGGGAATCATGGCGATCGAGTTGGACAGATGTTTATGTCATTAATAGCTTGCAAGAGGCTTGAACGTATATTGAAGTACAAAACCATGTTTAGCAATATCTCATATTATTACTATTGCAAAGTGGTATATTTTTAGATGTCACAATGATTTTGAATTTTCAATACCTGGTTTTGGAACTGTATTGCCTATATTGCCTATTTGTATTTGGACTATATTGATTCTGTTCTGTGCAGTAAGTCAGACAGAGAGACTGACGGACAAAAAGACAAACAGACAGACAGACATGCAGATAGAGAACCAGACATGAGGCATTGTTTTCTTTTTAGCTCATCTGACATAGTCAGATGCAGCTTGTAGAATCGCATGATCGTCCGTCCGTGCGTCTGTCAACAGTTGGGCACAAATCTTAACCGCTTGACGTACGGTCACGATATTCGGCGTTGGGGGGTAATCGAAAAACGAGTGGGATGTCGAACTGGGTCAAAGAGTCAAAGGGTCAAGAGGTGCTAAAAAGAAGGGGGAACATTCATCCTGTAACTTAAGGTATAGCGCGAGGAAATGCCAGAATTGCGGGCACAAATTCTAAAGCGGCGTCGACCTAGGCTCGTGATAGTCGGGTATAGCATCATGCGTAGGGAAAAGCCATCACTGTGCCGAATTGGAGGCACAGGTCAAAGTCAATGGGACAGCGACCAGGATTTGTAGACGATTGGGCTGAGGGAGCATGGGCTGACGGACCAGCGGATTTCCGAGAGCGATTGGAAAAACTTTTTTGTTTCAGCGGCTGACCTAGCATTTTTATGGCTTTATTGGAAAGACCATGAAATGTTGTGCCGTGACATGCGAAAGAGTTAAGTGTCGCGATAACCCTTTTGACCCTCAAGAGAGGGTTAAAAACATGGATTTGTTGACTGTTAACAAAGGACGTGAACTGCTTTTGCTATTAAGAGCCCCCTCGCCCCACTCCTCCCCTGTCCCCCCTCCCTGCCCTCCCCCACCCTCCCCCTACCCTCCATCTGCGTAGTGGCGTCGTCCTAACAATTGATGTGCTACCGCAACTTGTGTGTCTGCATATCTGCCGCCTAACAATGTCGGGTACTACGCACGACTGAAATTTTACGTTTATAATCGTAGCAACAGACCTCAGATGAGCCCAGACGCTCTGCGGCTCTTGTATAAAACAAATCAGTGAAAGAGCGAGTGAGAGAGAGTTGGAGAGATCAATGAGTGTTTTAAGAAGAAAAATCACGTCATGTTAACGTGAATATTTTTTCCGCTGCTCGTGAGTATATCTTGCGCGTGATGCCCACAACGTGTAACTTATTACGTGTCGTCTTTCCTTCCAGATAAAAATCCCAATGATGTTGGTGAATGCTAAAGATGATCCTATTGTACCGTCCGAGCTGCTCAGTTGTGCATATGAATACGTGGGTAAGTTGGTTCATTCAGGCAGCTATAATCTGCATGGTAATGAAACGTAATCTTAACGTAAAGTGTGCTTGTATTAGTTAGCGAAAGTAAAGTGGCAGGATACTGTGTAACGTAAGTGCAAAATCTTGTTGGGCTGTATTAATGTGGTGTGATTTCTCGTACATGTGTGAATGTTGAGGGTTTACTGTAAAGTAACGGCATCCCGCTTAAAATCAAGCTCATGATATGGTATATCGAGTAACAAGAGGGTAATCCTTGGAATAATATTGCCGTGTTTTATTATATGCTAGAAATTTCAGTTTTGAGGTAAATCCTAGATAATGGGATAATGCAGCAGTTCCAACACGTACTCAGTCTTCCAGCCAAACTCCACGACAGATGGCGCTCTCGCTCTGGCTCAATTCACCACTGCCACAAGTAGATTTTCCGTTACAATATGTAACGCTTTTTTACCACAAGTTTTACAGCGGCCAGGTTACTCGTATCCTATGTAATAAGATTTGTACTAATAAAAGTTGCAAAGATATTAAAAATCCGACCATTGTTTTATGAGAAATTTGATAAAATAGTGATATGAAATAGTGCACGTATTGTGCGCCCATTTACTACTTTCAAATCATTAAGCTGTTTACTAAACTAAGTTCACGTGTTTATTTAATATTTATCATGAATTTTTCGGATGCTTGCCAATGTACCTAATTCTCGAACATTGTCTTTGATACATTTTTGCGTATTCAAAATCTAAATTTGTCCATCAACAAACATACAAATCATAGTAATTTCTAATGTTTTGTTTGGCGGCAACTTCGCGGCCGTTGGATTGCCATTTGCTGGATTTCCCCGGAGCTCCACCCACTTGAAAAATAGTACCAGCCTTGTGGCAGTGGTATCCTGAGTTGTATGAAGGGGGCGCTGCATGCAGTTTGTCTTCCAGCATAAGGCGCGTTCACACGAACGTTTTTGGCTCGAGCCTAATTAGGCCCGTGCCAGATTTGGCTCGAGCCGAGCGTTCACACGGACGTTTTTGGCCCGAGCCTAATTAGGCCCGTGCCAGATTTGGCTCGAGCCGAGCGTTCACACGGACGTTTTTGGCCCGAGCCTAATTATAGGCCCGTGCCAGATTTGGTCCCATCGAAAACGTCGGACCAGGCCCGAGCCAAATTTTAGCACCAGCTTTCGGCGAGCGGTAGAGCGGTAGAATCGGTTGAGCGGTAGATACCGCGAGTGTCGAACGTGTAGTTCGACGAAATAAAGTCCAAAACAGTATAAAAATTCGAAAAATTTGATCAGGATGCACGTTTTCAAAATTGATAATTAAACTCGGAACGTAAGTAAACACTGAATCATAAACAACGCCATCTCGCGACATACTGCCAAAGTATCTGTGAGATATTTGTGCAATAAAATTTATTTGAATTTGAATTTGAATTTGACAGACAGTATTCACTTGCGTACGTGTGAACGCTCCGACTCAAACCGGCCCGAGCCAAATTTGGCCCATTTGGCTCGAGCCAAATCATGACCGTGTGAACGCGACTATAATCTGTTTCCAGGTAGATGTCACCTACTGCCATCTGGTGTCGTATTTGAGCAATACGCTTGCAACAGCTTGACAATATATACGCACGCTCACAGGCACACACAAATATATATATAGTTGTTTGACATTAGTTAGCGTTAATATAGACGCATTTACCCTCCTTTAATTCACTTGCAAGAATCCTTTTTGTTTCAGAACAAAATGAAAATGCTCTGTTTGTTCTTGCTAAGCATGGTGGCCATCTTGGCTTTTTCGAAGGAAACCTTCTATATCCGGACCCAATTACATGGATAGACAAGCTGGTCGCACAGTACTGTGATGCTGTAATCGACCTAAAAAAAATAGACAAAAGTCGGTCTTCCAGCATTATTCTGCAGCGCTGAAGAATAAACAATTGTGTCAACTGTCGAACATAAGGATGGTCGTATCTAATTTATTAAATCGGTTTGTACTAGATAAAAGATTATGCACAAGTCTTCGTGATTATGGTTACCATACTATAGTATGCTCTGTATGCATCACAGATACATTCAGACTAATTAATTTAAAACACTTGAGCAAAATGTGTAAAACCATGAACATATATCTATCTATCCATCCATCCATCCATTCATGTATCCAGCCATTCTTTCAGCCACCCATCATGCCATCCGTCCATCTATATGTGTGTGTGTGTATATGTATATTATGTCCATACATATGTTCATGGTATTACTATCTTTGTTAAGATACTACAGGCAGAACAATCATTAATTTGCATGCCATGCAGTCTTAAATAATAGAACAACCAAATGACCCTAGCTAGGCGTCATCACTGTTGGAACGTAGCTACGGGCATGGTAAGCCATACTTGGCATGCTAAATTTTCAGAGTGCTATAAAATGATTTGCTATTAGTATTAGTCCGTTTGCTTGACATTATTCTTTAGTGAATAGCTGTGATTTAGTGGTGCAGCTGCGTCTCCTTCAACCTTGTAATTCTGGTTGGAATGAGACTGGCCAGATAAAGTTATTATTATCAGTGCTTATTACAATATCCCATAGGAAAAGAATCATTGTGCTAAAATAAATTTTTGGTATTTGAATTCTACATGCCCAGTAAATTGACACTGCTGTGTGTAAGTATTTTTGTAGTCGTTATTCTTAAAATTATTTTAATTACAGTCATAGTTGTATGTGATATTATAGCAACCTATTCCATTGTCCTCATTGACAGTACTGCAATGTGTTTGTGGGACAACGTGAAGGGTAGGCCTATGTGGTGGCCTGATGATCCTGCATCATGCTTGAGACACAAAGATCCCCAAAATGTTACCTTTTGTTGCCTACATATAATCAGGAGATTGTATTGATAGACTCCTGATATAATAATATCAAAAGCCTGTTAACATTATCTGAATGGGCTTTTGATAATATCATGGTTATGTGAGCATATCATCATCTGCAAGATCTTGTGTGTTTGTGTGGATATTTACATGTCTATGGAACAGTGCGACTAGTGTGATTATGTGGTATTCCCGCGTAGGGTCATGTGTATGAAAGATACTGTGAACGTATCCATATAATATATAGTCATGCTCATTCTACATGTAGAATATAGATATGTTCATGAAGAAACCTCATAGGGTTTATAGAAGTTGTTCGGTCCAGACAATAGCAGCTTTGTAAACCATAATAGTAACGCATGTATCATTGCACATGTTTGAAGCCATCTACTTCTAAGTTGTCAATCCCTACATCGGTTTAGTTTTATATTTACAAATTTGCTTTGTAGTATTTTGCGTGTGCAGTCAATGAAGGAACTATTTTGTGATATGAATTTATAGGCCAGTGTAATGTTAACAGTTATGTGTTACTTTTTGTTGTTGGCTTCTTCAAGGAAAACGTGCTACGCACTTTTGTATCGCCTCACATTTAACAGCTTTCTGTTCAAAACTTCTACAAGAAAGGATATTTTTCTATCTAAATGCGTTTTTCGTTCGTATAGTATGTGTTGGTTCTAGAAGGACGGTAGGTGCTTTCGCATACCCAAGCATACCTCCATTGCTGAAATGATAGATTTCTAAAATGAATTCTAATCTCTTATGTGGTATTTTTAATATTCATCAGATATTACCTACTGTATAATTATATATTTTACAACGGTGTGACCCTTTGGCTGCAATCGTCTGTGTGCCGTGTTAACACATATTTTGCCAATATGCTGATTTAGTGAAAATATAGTTGGTTTTATTACAATATTTCTTTATTATAAAGAATATATACTTTTTCATAGAAAACTATTATTTTTAGGAGACTGTATTTTTGATTGTGACGAAATACTGCGTTACTTGATAGCTTTGATTATATTGCTCAAAGATGTCTGTCATTTTGATTTAGTGGTTCCAGTCAGTCAGCCATGTTTGAGTGCATGTGTTGCGGTATTGACGTGGAACCAATCGTTGACAATTTACCTATCTGCCTGGCCTGATTGACAGGCACCTCCAGCCAATCATTGTTGCAATGTTGGAGTTTTGAAAATGCTGCTCAGTAACAAAGTGCTGCAAAGTCGACATTTTGTCGTGCACGTGTGATGAACGTGTATAAATTGGTCTAGCTCCAGTTGAAATAGCATGAATAGCCAAGGCTTGTCATTGTTCGCTCAGAGGGATAGATAAGTGAGCTTGCCAGGGAAAAATGCCGTCAATTTTTTGAAGTTTCGTTTCGTTTGATTGTCCCTGCTGCATGTCTGCTTGTGCCCGAGTAAGTTATACCTGTAATCGACTGTAGAATATGTTATGATAGTGAAATATTGTGAATAAATTTGTCATTGTGAAGTGATGGATATTTATATAATTGAATTCAATTTTTTAAACCATTTTTATTTACTTTTATTAAGCAACATTAAATGGGGTATGAAGTTTCGCCCGTGCATACGTTTGTGCGTGCGTGCGTGGGTGCGTGTGGGTGAATCAGTGCGTGCGTGCCTGCCTGCGTACATGTATACGTGGCTTTGAAAAAATGTTAGCTGTGATAGGATCATTATGGGGAATATTATAATTGTCAATTAACACACGTTTGATGTGTAGGATTAAAGAGTGCCAAGTTGGAACCAATAGACATCTGTCCAAATTTTTATTCGCACCACCTTTTCTAGGGGTTCCCGTTATGCCCAACTTAAATTATCTTTTTGAATTTCTTTAATAGATTAGACGAATCATGGCCACAGCGTGCATAACATTCCAATATGTTGGAAACGTTCGCATGAAAATCAGTTTGTGAGCTGCATATTTTTTTAACGTAATAATTGTCGATGTGGGAGGCTATTCTTAATATGGCGAGGATGAGAAGACGAGTATATTAGATAGGAATAGGTGTCAGTGGGTTTAGAAAATTCCAAGGTAACTAAGTTTTCACCAGAGATAATAGCAACTATGTCCAGGAAAGGAATTAAACCTCTTAGATGATGTAGCGTGCTTATATTTTAGCTGGGGGTGAAATGACCTAACGTGGTAATTGGTTACTCTCGAAAAACAGCTTTGTGTATTTTTTTTTGGTTTTCAATCCATACAATAAACAACAAAGGTGGGGTATATTATACCTCACACCATGCAGGGATCATTGCTACCATGTTTTTACCTATGTGAGTGGCTAGGTAAAACCAACCACTTTCCACTCTATCACTGTTTTCATTTAGCCGATTAACACCGAAGGCATTATATCAAGCCATTTAAGTTTTAACGCCAAGACACGCTCCAGCAACCGACCATAACATTTGACGATATTTTAGAAAAATAGAAACACACACACAGGTGATAACATCTGGCAATAACTGCCTTGACACATTTTTTTAAATCAATTCTAATTTCCAGTGACATAGTCAACATTTCATAAATAGCCTATTACAGCTGTAGATATAATGCTTTCATTGGCACATAACAAAAACAATTTCAATTTTTTCAATCAAAAAACAATAGCAGCTGTCTTCGCTACTCCCACGCATCGAGATCTATCTCCCGGCGAGCCACTCCTGAATCAAACCTTTCCAAACATGGCAGCATAGGCTAGGCAGGTGGCTATCTTTTTCTATTCTATATCTTTGATACCACTACCAGTGTACGTAGCACTCGTTATTGATTTAACAGAGCATGCTAGCTGGGACATGCGCTGCAACGCATGATGGTATCCTTGTTCATTATCATCCGAGATTATTCGTCTGGTAGTTTTGAAAGTATCCATGACTTAAGCAACTTTAATTCTTTCGCACTCATAGCATGGGCAAGTCTGGGAAAAGTGTGCAATACGTTCTCCACTCCTAGTTTCTGCATCTGATCATTAGTCTCCTTTCCCCAGTCAAATAACACCAACGGATCACTCAATCCATGAGCTTGAAATAGAGGCGGATTCACATTGTTTTGGGCAGCAGATCCATACACGGCAGATGCCTTGCTGAGAAAGCTAGACAGGGCGAACACACCAGCAACATCAGGATGGCTACCATATGCCAAATGCATAGCCATGCTGCCACCCATTGAGAATCCACCTAAGATTATGCGATGTTTAGGTATTCCTGTCTTGACTTCTGACTCTATTAGCTGTGTGAGTAAGGTGGATGATTCCCGGATACTCTGAGGATCGTCTGGAACCGTGTTCGATATTTTCTCGCGGTCAAACCAAACCGTAGTCACGGCACCTAACATTGGTCTGTATTCTCTCGGAGGAGCAGTTGGAAATACAACACGTATATGTGAAAACGCGAACGTATCGTTGAGTATATCGCTGACCCATTCACGTACACCAAAACCAGTATCACCAGACCCATGGAGAAAAATTATGGAACCCGTCAACTTCGGGTTTGCTTGGGCAATAACTGAAGCTGTCAACATCTTTAAGGGGGCAGCCATCTTTATTTTCCGGTGTAATATCAATTTGTGCATCGGTGAATATTATTTTTTTAGCACTAGAAATCGGCGTTCGGCTTTTGGCATTCGGCATCGGCTTTTGAGTCATATTTATCATAATATTATATATAATATATATATTTAGAAATGAGTGTAATAAGATAATAAGCATGGGAAAAACGAAAAAACTGTCACGTATGACATAGTATATGACAGCACAACCGAACTTAGAACCCTTGGGTACAGGTGTAAATGACAAAAAGTTATTATAAGAGGGGGGGACGGGTATTTTCGGGACGCGGGATTGGCCATTTTAATTACCTGGGAACTGGTAACCTGTATGATACAGGCGGTTCCGGTTCCGCTTCACTACACTTCACCGCCTGTACATAGATATAGAATCTATGGCCTGTACCACTTGCTTCTTCAGCCCGCTCACTGATCTCTATAATAATATTATCATAGAGATATCTATGATGATATTATTATAGATATATCATAGAGATATATGATTATGATTATATATGATATATATTATATATATGATATATATATATATATATATCATGATATCATAAGTAGGTCATATATAGTCGATATATATCAGTCATCATGATCATATCGATATCAGTATATCATTATATAGTCATATATGATCATATATCATATAGTCATATCATATCTCATATATCATATAGTCATAATATACTATATCATATAGTTATGCTCATGATATATCAATTATATCGATAATGATATCATTATATATCATATATATCATATATATTCATATATATCATATCATAATCATATTATATCAATATCATATATATCATATATCATATATATATCATAATATCATATATATATGATATATGATATATATATGATATATATATATATATGATGATATTATAGTATATATTATGATTATGATTATATGATATTATCATAGAGATATCTATAATGATATTATTATAGAGATCAGTGAGCCCGCTTCGCGAAACACGAAAATGTCAGATAAATTTTTCGTGATTCGGCTAATAAAGTTCATCGGGACGTGGGAAAACACCGCTCTAAAATTGTTCTGGGATCTGGGAAAATGTGTCCAATTCGTTCGGATTCAATTCTGCCGCTAATTTTTTTAAATATATTTTTTTTTTAATTTTTTTTTATTAATTATGCCCCAATAAATAATACCTATGTAAATATTAGTATTTATGTATGTTTGAAAAGCCAAGCAGTTGTACGTCCCCCTCTTATAATAGCATTGTAGATGGTTGGACTTTTCATTTGAAAGCCTCTTGATAAAGAGATGTTTTTCTTCTTATTCCTGGTGCCAAAATATGTAAGAGATTCCTGGCGTCTCCACTCTTGAGCTCCCACGTACAGCTATATCCATTGTGAATCGGTAGCATGAATAAAAGGAATATAGTATCAGGACTAATAATGGAACAAATTTGTCATTATTAGCTGCTCATAGTATAGCTGAGAGGGTCTATCACCCCGAGGGTACTGCCGGAATACGTAGCCTGGGTACGGTCCGGTATACCGGAGCGTACCCTGGTACTATCTCAATATGCCGGACCGTACCCCGCCTACTCCAGCTAACGAGTCGTAGCGGTCGCCCTACGCCTACTCCCTAACCCTACCCCGAACTCAGAACGGCCTAATCCTAAGCTCTGTAAGGGTCTATGTCCACCCTGACCTCTGTTTGACTCGCTCGTTTAGCTATTTTCTGACTAACCCAACCCTAACCCTGAATCCTAACCATAAACCCTTAAAGCCTAACCCTACTATATTTAATATTAGATATATATATATGATATTAGTCAGAAATAGCTAAACGAGTGAGGTCAAACAGAGTCAAGGGGACATATGACGCTTATCTGCAATCCTAACCCTAATCAATCAAATAGTTGACCAGGGTACGTTCGTATACGCGACCGTACCCAAAGGTACGTTTCGGCAGTACCCTGGGGGACATAGACCGCTATGAGCCCATAGTATAGCATAGACACACGCCAACATGCAATTGAATTGAAGAATGTACTTTTGCATATTTTAATCAGAAATGCGCATAGCTTTTCGAATGCGTACAGATGAATTGTGAGTCGGTGAGATCGCTGCACTGAACTGAACCTCTGAGCTGAGTGAGTAGTACCTCTGAACTGGTGAAACTGGTGCTGAGTTGTGGTGTGTTTTAGTTATGGTTTGCGATTTGACAATACCAGCAGCCGGGATGCAGGTGAGGAAATACATTTTTCTCTATGTGCGCAGCACTGTACAGTGAGTGCTGACATTGTGTGAAGATTTACTAAATTGACGGGGTTTTCACGGAATTTTCTGGTGAGTTTGAACGCTGTTTGACAGCGTTTTTTTCATCTAGGAACCACTTCCCGGGATAACAGCATGGCCGTGTGAGAAAATTGCATCCAGATCGCTGGCGGTTTGGCGCCTATAGGGAAATACACTAACATACGGTAACGTACGAGTACGTACGTACGTACGTAACGTCAGTACATACA